GTAGTGGTTATCACATCCGCCTAACACGCGGAAGGTCCCCGGTTCGATCCCGGGCGGAAACATTTCTTTTTTAATATTCAATAATTTTTATTTTTAATCAAAAAATTAAATTATATAATATCATACAAAAATAATTAATTAAATATTTACAAAAACATTTATAAAATTTATCTATCATCGTATTTGTAATTTATTGTGGTTAATTGTGGTTTAATAAATAATATAAAATTGTTAAGTGTTATAAGTGATTCTAACCTCATAAACCTCACGAGATTTTAAAAATGAATTTAAAAATAAATATATCGTTTATGCAATATATAAGAATATAAATATATAATATATTTAAATACATTATATGTTATTATTATTATATATTAATATATGATACGTAATATATAATATAATATAAAAAATTTGTTTAAGAAAGTATATAGACAAGTAAAACAGATAATAAAATAAAAGTAGCAATAAATTAAAAATATTGAAATTTCTAGAATGGTATATAAATAAAATATATACATAAAGAAAACAAATAATATAAGAAAATAAAACAAGAATTGGTTTATAGTGCCTTGAATATATATATCAAAAATATTTCTCCATCGTAGGATAAAGTAGAATAAGAATTGAGAATCAGCGCCATCTCTTAAATATTTTTAAAAATATTTAATTTTATGTCATTTGGAGAGATGGCGCTGATTCTCAATTCTTATTCTACTTTATCCTAATATGGAGAAGTAATTTTGATGTTCAAGAGATGGCACTATCGATCAATTCTTGCTTTATTTCTATCTTTCTTACATTATTTTCTTTCTTTTTTTACGTGTTTTATTTGCGGCACTCTAGAGATGGCGCTGATTTCAATATTTTTAATTTATCTTTATCTTTGTCTTTATTTTACTATTTATTTTCCTTGTCTTTCCTTTCGACATCAAATATAAAATATATTTGATTCTTAATATTATTTATATTTTATTATTTTACCATTTAATTTTTTAATTTATAATTATTTCATTGAAATTTAGATTAAATTTCATTATTAATAATACAATTTTATTCTATGCTAAATCGATTACGTTAAAAATAAAATAATAAGATGATTTTAATATCTTAAATTTATTTTATATCTTTTTCAGTTTAATGTAACTTTCTTTTCACAGATGTCGCTATTTGTCGCTAAATGTAATGATCTAATCTATCTATCTATCTAAACTGTTTCTATGGGAAATAATATCGATTTAACTTTGAATCTGTTTATAACAAGTAGTGTCTTCACAGGTTGCTAAGTAAATTCATCGAACAGTAGTATCGTTAGTTTTTACCGTTAAAAAAGGTACGTAATAAATACATTTACAATTATTTTGATACATTATTAGAATTTCTTTATTATTTATTCTCTAATCCACGATCGTCAATTAATTCAATTACTCAAGAATATATAAACAAAACTATCATTCAGTAATAAAGTCGTATATAAAATAAAATTGATAAAATATTCCTTTATCCAAAATTAATCTTCAGTAGAACGAGCATAATCCTTTTCTGAAACGCGATCATCATGTCAATAACAATAAGATCACTCAATATCTTCGCCTTTTCCATCGTGGCAACGTAATCACGGATGGCGAATCGGCGCCTATATCGACGATAATAATATTCACGAATCGAAACAAGTCCCACAGGTGAAATGATCAAAGTTTATCTGGTGCGTCGTTACTCGAGGCTGTCGCCGTCAATTTCTACCTAATATGTCACGTGGAAACTACGGAATTGGCCGGAGGGCGTCTTTGATCTCCCAACCCTCCCTCGGAACCGGCGTGCTTGTCCACCTTCCGAAAACTCACCCTTCGAGTCGCACGCCACGTACGCGCCACGAGGGTCGCTAAATCCAATTTTATTGTTTGCACGCTCAGGAAAACTGGAATTACTCGAATCTAACCGTGAAGCGTAAATCGTTCCATGGACTCGATCTCGGCTAATTTAAGGATATCGTAATCATTAAAAACCGCGAGATGGAAATTTTATTCATTTTACGCCTCGAGTGTTTCATTAACATTAACATCTCATCGATTCTGTGTGACTGTATAATATAATTCATTTTTAACGTTCTTATAAATATCTTAGAAATATCGTCGTCATTTTTTCGAATTAGCGAATTGAAAATATTAATATATTAATATACACCACGCGTTAGAATTATTAATGAGTGTTTAAATTTCATTTTGTTCACTTGGATCAAGAAATAAAATTTCATTATTTCTAATTTCTAACTACAAATCGATATGAAAAACGTTGGAAAAATTATGAAATTGTTCCCAATCCAAATAGAAACGAAGGTAGCTTCGAATGAGTTGATAGATCGCAAAAAAAAAAAAGGAAAAAGAGAGACAGAGCAGAAGGGCGAAAAATTGACTTGACGATCCATGTTTGGCACAATCATAGATCATTCCATTGTATCGAAAGGGGGGTGTGTGTACACATTATAACAGGGACATAATGGCGCACCAATATGTACACACAACGGGGACAGAGGCGACACAGAATGTG